TTCAAACAACGCTCACTGTGAAACAATGCTCAGGTATCTATTTAAAGTGACAACAGAAACAATCAAAAATCTTAAGAGTGACAGATTTGTCTTTTAGGTAGACTTATTCAAAGGAACACCTTTTATAACCTCTTTATCAAGAGCAGACCAAAACTTCAGGGAAATTATCTCGAGAGAAAAACCAAATTTTAATTTCTGCACCAGCTTATTATTAAAACTCATTTACTTAGTTGGATTTACGTTAATCTACTTGACTAGGCATAAAACTCCTTTCAGACTTTCTCCTTCACAAACCTTCTACAGCTTTCTTTTTGCCTTCAGAATTTGTCCCAAAGCCTTTCTTTTTTCCTTTCTAGTACATTAGGACAAATTTGTCTTTTTTAACCCATCAAACAAAAATACTTGCATTCTTTATACCCTCTTTACTGAAAACATACATTTTAACTTTCCTTGAATACAGAGCTGTTTTCCTTATTAATTCCCAGTAGCTTTAATTATATATGTTAATTAGAACTTTTAACCATTAACAGACCCTAGTAAACACTAAAAGGTAAGCAATTACAAATTGTCTTTTATATCAGCATTCTAAACACTTCATAATTTCTAGAAACATGCCACTTTACAGTAACAGACCCAAAGACTTTTAGCCTCTCTGCAATAAGAAGCCAAAAGTAGATAACTTAGATATGTTTAGCTGTAATGCTTGTGTGCTATCCAATCCAAAAATGACCCAGATGCTCAGATTTTTATCATTTAACTTAACTTGGCAAAACTCAAGATTGTTATCAAAAAGAATTTGGAAGCTGTTTTTTTTTTTTCAAGTATACAGACCATAAAACAGTTATTGTACCCACAAAAACTTCATGAGACATTAGACAAAACTGGTCATCATTTAAAGCTATTATTTGGCTGATGAATTTAACAGACAATGTGAGCTTATTTGACTAGTAAACCCAGGCTGCATGCCTGCATCATAGGCAAATACCGACAACTCTGACAACAAGACTATTTTCAATCAGACCAACGAACTTAAACAAGCTTTCATTTACCAAAGGTTAATTCACATCACGTTAACTTGAAAGACATTGGATTAATTTCTACTACATTTAGAATTTATGTAAGTGCTTACTTTAAGCCAATTAAACCGAGCTCTTAATTTTGGCCATACCATCCGGAGGTAAAATATCACACATATAACGTACATAAGACACACATACACAGAGACTGCACAGCTATTTTTTTTTTACCAATATTTGTGGAGAAGATACTCAAGATGCTAGATTTTTTGCAAGGGCACGCTTATGGCCATTTTTCCTCTCCCCTCCTCTCTCTCTTTTCTTTTTTTCCTTCAGTCTTAGGAATCAGTGATGGGCTAGATAGTAGCTCCTGGAGAGGGGAGATGATAATCCTTTTCTTGATAAAGGAACTGGGTGGAATCTGAACTGCCTCTAGAGCTGTATTTCCAGTCTTGCAAGGATTTTCTAAGGACAGTTGCTCTTGATTTCCCAGAAACTGGACTGTAACTTGAATGACGTGCTAGGTTGATCTACCTGTCCAACTGCACCATAAAAGCACAGAGAAACCTCTCAAGTTTTCTCCCGGCTGGAATTTCTGGGGCATAACCCATCCAATTGAAAGTGTTTCTAATTAGTTAGAATGCACCCAAGTGGTGAGTCTCTGGGGATGCTTAGGGCATTCCCCAAGGCGGTAAAGCCAGTGTCCGACTGACAGTGGACTGGAGAAGGGTGCAGAGTCTGATTGCGGGTGTCAACATAGTTATAAGATTTAATCAACGCCCACTTAGCCAGCGCAACTTTGTCCCTGAGCCCGCACAAGGGGAGCTAGGGAAGCAGGAAGCAAAGGCCTGGAACTGGCTGGAGGTCGGGGCTCCCAGTGCCAGGGTTGAAAGTTAAGTCCCTGGCACAAGGTTTTCAAGTTTTCGATTTTACGGAAGGTCCAGGTTCTGGTCAGGTCCAGCCTGAACTTAACCTCGACTTGGTGACGACAGAGGAGATGATGAACGAAACAGACAAAGAAAGGAAAAGAAGAGAACAGACCTCACCCTCATGGCCTCTTCCTGAGGGTTATCAAGATAAGAGTCACACAACAGTTCCCGTGCTGGGGCACACAACCCTAGCACGACAGTTCACAGAATAAATCACAGGTCTCCTACTCTCATAGCCAACTCAGTAGGTGACTAAAATACTCAATGAGTCAACCGTCAAGGGAGGGCACCCCACTTGGGGTCACCGGGGTGATCAGGCCCGGAAACCCAAAGTTGGGGCTCCCAGGGGTGGAGGCTTTGACTCTTGAAAGATTTCTTTGTTTCCCGGTTGCAAAGCTCAAAAGGAGACAAAAATGGCCATTGTAACTCTAAGAAAGATGAAAGAGATGGGTCCATTACTTTGAAAATCCCCCCTGAACCGAGGGCAGCGTCCTACCCGTCGTTCCTACTGTGGGGTTCCTATAGCAAGGGGTGATGGGGGGGGTCCTCCAGCATTGCATGCCTTGTATACCTTCCTTGTTATGCCTGGCAGTAACAGGTGCCTGGTGAATGGTCCCAGAGAGGAAAGGAGCCATTACCTTGAAAATCCCCCCAGTGGGGTTCCTGTAGCAAGGAATGATGGGGGCATCCCTTGAACATCTTCCTTATTATGCCTGGCAGTAATAGGTGCCTGGTGAATGGTCCCCAGGATAAAAGGATAGAGAAAAACTGTGAGGAATTTTCCGCCAGTCTGGGGGACATTCTACCCAATTGCATCCTGGAGACATTCTCCCAAGAAGGGGTTCCCATACTCCATCAAAGGTTAGAGTTTGGTACTTCCCTTGAAGTGGAGTCCCGATTGGGACTTTCCCTCAGTTCAGGGCATGGTCAGGTGCCATGGGAGGGATGCCAATCCAGCCTTAGGAAAAGAAACCTTCCGTGGGAGTCTTGCAGATTGGCGAACATCCTAATGACTTAAGTGGCCGACCCGCGCCCACGTAAAATTTGTATATTAGAGATAGAGTCAAGAAGGAATGGATTAATTCATTCTTCATCACCCTGAGGCTTAAGGTACTGATTCTCTTCAAGCTGAATGCTATGATTTTCCCCCTAGAGTAGCCATGGGCAGCAAACGTGGATTCATACAGCCATCCAAGAAAGTTCCCGATGGAGAAGTGAATTTAGATCCATCCTCGAAAAAGAGAAAGACACAAGGAAAAAGGGCACTTACCAGAACTTGAGCTCACAAGCCGATGAAGCAAGTTGCCCGTACAGGCCACCAGAAATGATGTGGGGTCAGTGAGCCGAGGAGTCGAAAGAAAGATTTCTTGAACTCTCAAGGCCTGGCAGTGGTGCTCTTTTATTTAGAGAATAGTATGGAATAGCATGGGGACAGGACCCATGGGCAGTGAAGAGCTGCAGGCATGGGGACAGGACCCATGGGCAGTCAGAGCTCCTGCTGCTGCCCTGAGTTGAGGGTTAGGGCTAAATTTATAAGGCATGGGTACGCGACTTATTTTTACTGGAAAAAGAAAAGATGATGTAAAAAGTCATTAAATGATTTCAGTGCAGATGGGGTCTGGTTATTGTGTGGTCATATAACTTTAGGTACAAGTCTGGCCATATAGATTGGCATGTAGGTGAGGATGCCCTGGGCTTCTCTCCCTGGGGCAGCCCTAATTCACACCATAAAAATCCACCGGGTCATATAGTTTGGCATGTAGGCCAGGTCACCTTGGGCTTCTCTAGCTGGGGCAGCCTTAATCCACATCACAAGAAAGTGAGGTGTACAGAGTGGTTATATACCCCCATACAGGACGTTTCACATGTGATTGAAATGTCCCTCCCACAATAGTCACAAGATTGCCCTGTTGGCACAGCGCTTGATGGACACAGCAGGTAGTGGGTCGGCTATCTTGGTGGGCGCAGCAGGAGGCAAGTCTATTGTCTCCAGCTGGGCGGTCACAGGTGAGCGCAGCAATCAGCTTCCAGCCTAAGGAAAGATGCTTAATCCTTAAAGAAATGCCAAGGTTGGGAGGGGGAGGGAAGTTGCACCTTTATCTCAAGGGCCTTTGCTCTTGCCATAGGGAATCTCTAAAGCAGATATACAACGCATGCTCAACGGCCTCGGTCAGGCCCTTTTGGAAAGACAAGTTCAGGCAGAGTTAGGTTTACACCAAATGGCTTCCTCATATTCTCCAATATATCCTATTGCTTGCCATTTTTATTTGTCACCCGTCTCCTGCCTCTGTCCCCAGGTCCACCAGTGTGGTACCCCAAGGACTGGGTCTCTGCTCTCACCAGGGACCACACCCCCTGGGAAGCCCTGAGCCACTCTGGGCTGGACAACTAGCCATCCTGCCTCTGGCCTGTGTTGGGCCCGCTGAGCCCTGGGGAGCCGGCAGGGTCAGAGCAGGGACGACCGTCAGGGGCTCACAGGCTGGGCAGGGGAGACAGGCTGTTCAGGGCCCCAGCTGGGGTGGGCCGTGCGGGGGCCCAGGGCCCAGGGCTGACTCTGCTAACCCTGAAGTTTCCGCCTGGGCTGGCAGGAAGCCACACGGGCAAGCAGGCTCTCCCCCCGGCCTGGCCTTAGATTCCACCCCACTCACACAGACACGGACTTTATCTCCCAGGACAGGGAGGGGCTGAGGGTGGAGATTAGCCACCTGCTGGGGGCTCCCACCCCAGGGCGGGAACAGCTCAGGCATCCAAGAACAGCCGGGCCCGGAGGCACCCTCACCCTGTGCTGGGGGCTCACCTTCGTCCCCTGAGTGGGGTGGTGGGGACGAGGCCCACCAGGAGCTGTTCTATGGCTTTCCTGTCTGTCTGTTCCCTTACCCCAGGGCCAGGGTGAGTGGGTGACAGAGGGCTGGGTCAGCCTAGGAGAGCCGGGTAGCTGGGGGACAAGGGCAGGACAGGGACATCGTGGGCAGGGATGGGGAAGAGGGTACACCCAGGGGCAGGAATAGGGGCGCTGGGGCGCGGCTGGACAGACAGGCAGGCTCAGGAGACTCACCAGGCTCAGGGCGTCAGCCTTGGGTGCCGGGCTCCAGGGTGGCGGCCCCCAGCCTCGCAGAGGCTCCATGTCTCTCCTTAGGACCCCTCATTCCCTGGCTGCTGTCCCCTGCCCCCTGCCAGCAGGATGAGCTTCAGCACTTGGGCTTCCTGCTGCCTCGCTGGCTGAAAGAGAAAGAGAAACTGCAGCAGGAGCCAGCGAGGACGGCCTTCGGGGTGATCTCAGGAAGTATTCGTCTCCAGTCCCCAAGCATGTGCCGTTGGGGCCCTAGGCTGCCAGGGGATCAGGACCCCACAGTGACAGGCAGGGAGGGCCCTGGGCTGCAGTCTGCAGTTAGCAGGACCTGAGGCCCAGAGCAGAGGTCAGGGCAGGGGGAGGGGGGCAGCATAGGCGGCAGGGGGGAATCCCCTGCTGACCCTAGAGAGCCAGCCTGCAGGTCCCGACAGCAGGAGCCAAGAGGAACCTCCTTGGCTGCCTGTTACCTGTCTCTGTTCAAAAGGGGAACTTGCTTCCATGGAAAGGGGGGACCCTGCTTCTCTGGAAAGGGGGGATCCTGCTTCTACGGAAAGTGGGGACCCTGCTTCTCTGGAAAGGGGGGAACCTGCTTCTCTGGAAAGGGAGGACCCTGCTTCTCTGGAAAGGGGGGAACCTGCTTCTCTGGAAAGTGGGGAAGCTGCTTCTATGGAAAGGGGGGACCCTGCTTCTATGGAAAGGTGGAACCTGAATCTCTGGAAAGGGGGGAAGCTGCTTCTATGGAAAGGGAGGAACCTGCTTTTATGGAGAGAGAGGACCGTCCCCTCCAAGGAAACCCCATCCCTTCCAAGGAAACCCCACCTCCCAGCAGTGCACTCTGGGTGTGTCCACCCTCTGCCCGGACTGAGGCAGGCTGGTTTCCACCTGCACAGCCCTGCCCATGACTCTGCAGAAGGCAACCCTTCCCCGACACCAGGATGCTGGGGGTCCCTGAGTCCCCATTGGGTCAAGAAGGGGGGTACTTTGTGAGCACCCACAGGGGCCCCCATTGAGTCCACCCCCACCTGCCCCTGGGACGGGGTGGGAGTGGCTATTTCCTGCTCACATTTCACAGATGGGGACCCCGGGGCTCAGAAAGGGACAGGGCCTTGCCCAGGGTCTCCCATGTGCAAACTGTGCTGAGCCCCAAACCACAGCCTTCCTGTGCAGACGGGGCTCTCCTCACCCCGGCTTCCCCAGAGCCAGGGCCATCACGTGAGCTGGGGGAAAGGAGGGCAGGCCTGGGAGGCAGAAGCGGGGGCTGGTGAGAGGCAGCCCACCCACCCCTGGATTACTCTCACTGCCACCACCCTGCCAGCCGCCTACAGCCCCTGATTCCCAAAGTTATTGTTTAAAAATTACTGCCATGAATCAGGTACAGTAACACAAAGCACCCTAGGTAGGAATCCAAATTTCGTTTTTCCAAGTTCCATTCCAGCGGTTGCAGCATGAGTCTGTTGAGTTTTCCCATCGACTCCAACAATGGCAACAGAGAAATTATTTAATGATGAGTAAATAGCATCAGTACTCAGCAGAAATTCAGCCAATTGTGTCCCCACTGTCCTTTGTACCCAGGGCTCATGGGGGACTATTGGAACGGGAGCCACCAGCATGGCAAAGAACCCTTGGCCCCATCAGTCGTCTTCCTCCTCAGAGTCTTGGACTCAAGAGGTCAGGGAGCTTGTTAGGAGGACCCCGATTTTTCCCTCTCATGCCTTCCTCCAGCTTAGGGCACTCATTTTTCCAGGGCCCCTTTTCTTTGCAGTAGGCACACTGATTTTTCCCCCATTTTTGGTGTCCCTCCCTATGCAGCCCTGGCTCCCCATTTCTGTCTCTCCATCTGGGGGAGCTGTGTAAAGCCCTTGGCTGGCTTGGCTTTACGTTCCTCTCGAGCATTATAAACTTTGAAAGCAACTTTCACCAACTGACTAGAACTCGTGGCTGTGGCGCCTTCAACCTTCTTGAGCTTCCTTCTAATGTCGGGGGCATTTACCATTAGGGGCTGTGTCACACTGACAGTAGGATTAAAGAGATTTAACACGCTCAGGGTTGGCATGTTCTCATAAAGGTTTTCTTTTCGTATCTGAGCATCTTTGACTACTGGGAGCTTGGCATTCTTTTGCACCATCAGCTTGGTTCCTGGCGGGACACCTTCCTGATCATGCAACCGCATAAAAGCCTGCACATATGGAATCTCATCCTGTTTTCCAGACCTTTCACAACACAACTCCAGCTGTAAGATGGTGTAATAACTCAAAGTTCCATTCAATGGCAGTCTTTCCTCACTTTCCAAGACATACATCGGTCAGGTGGTGTTACAACAAAATAGCATATTTTTTGTCATCGGCTTGTAGCTATGGATTGACCATCAGTCAAAATCTTTCCCAAGGGGCTCCATGTGGTGCCTCCCATGTCAACACAAAAGGGGACAGACAGACAAACAAACAACAACCAAAGAGACCAAACCAAACCAAACAAGCACGCTTTTCCAAACACCCTCAGACAGCAACAGAAGCCAATACAAAGAAACCAAAACTCAAAACACTTCAGTTCCAGTGTAGTCTGTGTCCTACTGACAGGTGTGCCCAATAAATGAAGTCGCAGCCTACAGATCTTCCCAAATGAGCAAAGACAAGGGACCTCGATTGTGCACACCGGGGGACTGACCTAGTTGGGCTGGGGGATCACGACTCCACACAAACGCTCTTTCCTTCTCCCCAAGGTAGTTTCCAGAGGTCTGCAGAAGTCCAGACGGCCACCCAGGGGATGAAGCATGAGGGAAGCCTCCCAGAGTGAAACCCGCTTTCCCAGCGGCTGGAGCGGCCCCTCTGGCTGTGCTGGGCACTCCGCAGAGGCCAGCCAAGGGAGCAGACCTGGACTCGACCTGGGTGAAGTCCAGTCAACTAAGTACTGGTCCCGGGTGATCAGGCCTCCCTGAGTCTTTCTCCAACTGTCCACTTCCACAACTGGGGCAGGCGCAGAGTACAACTTTGGAGCAGCCGAAGAAGCCGAGGGGGTCTCAGTGGGAACAACCCACAGGTCCCATCTGGGTCGCCAACTGTGTAACCAAAAGTTCAGTCTCTGAACCCGATGCCAATCCAAATAACGAGGACAGAGTCTTGAGAGGAAAGGAAAGGCTTTACTTTCTTTGCCCAGCAGGGGGAGCACAGCAAGGGCTGGTGCCTCAAGCATTGCTAGCTCCCCATTAAGAAACGGGTAGGGGTTTTTATTAGGGGTTTTAGGTAGGGGAGGGGAGCTGTGACCTTCTTGGTCAGCATTTTCCCATCGGCCTGCATTTGGGACAGCTTCCAAGGGCGGGGAGACAAAGGATTCCACAGATGGACGTCCCTGGCTGTTTATCTCCATGGTGGATGGTAGACTCTGGGAAGCTTCTGTTTCTTGATATTCTCTGGGCACTAATTTCTCTGTGAAAGAACTTCAAGGTCCTGGGATCAGCCACCACTTTAGTGCGAGCCCAGCTTGAGCCCATCTGGGCTTTAACAATGTGTAACTTCTATTTGGTTGTGAAGCTCAGGGAGTCAGAGGGTAAAGAAACACATTTACGTATGAGCGTAACTAAGGACCCAGGGAACTGGGAATGTGTGCTTGTAGTTTTAACCCATATATGCTGGGCTCCCTGTAGGGGAACCCATATCAGGGCTGATATTACCTAAGAGCCAGTAAGACAATGACCAACCAGTCACAATTACCACTCCAGTCCCATGGCTCCATAAGGCAGCAATTCCTAAGCCCACCTCAGTAAAAAACCCAGCATCTCCAGTGTCATAAAATACTCAACCCCCTATCCCATTAGACTTAAACACAATTTCTCCCTCATCAGTTTTCAAAATAAATAAAACCGCCATAACCTCCATCAATAACCCCAAGGGGAATATCCCTGGGACAGTTAAATCAGAAACTCAAGCCTCAGGACACTGCCCAGGAGCCGGAGCCCTTGGATAACCAAAACCCACATCCCCTCCAAACGGGGTGTGTGGATAGGACACTCAGATTCATTAAAAAAGATGTAATGAAGGAAAGGGTTCTGAAAGGAGTTAGTTGTGTATAAGTCTGGTGTGCAGGGGCCGTGGGATTCTCCTAGAGATAGAATTGTTGTGAGGATGTCTGGCATCATGCTCTTGGCATGTTCTGCCGGGAAGAAGCAGGCAAGTGGACTCGCTGTGTATTCAACATTGAAGCCAGAGACGCGTTCGACTCTCCCTGTGTTCAATCAATGGAACTCGCTTGGTTCCATTGCCAGGGTTGAAATGAATCATCCTGTGCCTAGTAGTCAAGATGAAAAATTAGTCATAAGTATTCTTGGGTAGAAATTAATGTTGAAGGTGAAAAAGATGGTACATTAGCAGGACGGACAGTAGAATAATTGCTCACGTTACTTCCCACAAAACTGTTGGTGCTGCTGCTCGTAGGGGTCCAATTAGTACACGTGTTGAATTTGAAGCTGAGGCTGATCAGAGAATGGAATAAACAGCTAGGCCTGACAGGGTTCGTGCAAACAGTAGGCCTAGGCTTCTATTAATCAGTGGGCGTGGTGTGGGTCGTGGAATTCATCTTGTAGGGGCCAGAGGGAGGGGCGGGATTGGTGCAACAAGAAACAGGGATGTTGACGGTGTTGGTGGTGTGGCGGTTCTTTAATGAATAGTCTGACGGCACCAGTGATGGGCTGCAGCAGGCCATGGGGGCCGACCGTATTGGTCCTTTGAGGAGTCCTATGCAGCCTAACGCTTCTCACTGGACCGTCGTGAGGAGAGCAGCGGCAAGCGGGATGGGGGTGATGAGTCGGAGAACGCTGATTAAGAGCGCGTTGTCAGGAAGAAGAATCGAACCTCTGGCAATAAAGCTTTAAGTTTTACAAGATGCCCAGCTCTGGCATCCTGACAAACCCTGTTCCTGGGCAGGGCTGGGTCTAAATTAATTAGATTAAGATTATATCATCCATTAGTTTGAAGGTGCTTTTGAAAAGTGGGCCTATTTCTCTCGTCCTTTCGTACGGGGAGAAATGTGGAATCGATAGAAACCAATTGGATTATTGCTGATGAACTCAGATCTCAGAGCACCTTAATCATTGAACAAACGACCTGTGAACAGCAGTTACCCCGCTGGGACGTCCTGCTCTCTTGGGAGGGTGGTGAACCCCCTTGTTGGTGATGAGCTCTAGAGCAGGATGCGCTGCTCTCCCCAGGGTGACGTTGTTTTGTGTTTCAGAGATGCGTCCCCTCGTCCCCAGTCTAGCTGTGGAAGAGGTTGGTGGTGGCCCCAGGGAAACCTTGGGACAGGACAGGACAGGACCATCTGCGGGCCCAGGAGGGGATGAGGGCAGGAGGGAGTGCTCAGTGCTCAGAGGGCCTCACCCCAGCCACACCCTAAGCCAGCCAGGTCCCACCTCCCAGCCTTTGCATGGCACCCCCCCTTCCCCCTCTGCCCGCAGCCCCCAGATCCCCGCCCTGAGCCCAGAGGGCCTGAGCCCACTCTCAAACCCCACCCTCGTCACCGGTTTATCCTAGCCAGCTGTTTCTGCTCCTGCCTCTGTCTCCTCCAGGCCCTGCGCCCTGAGGGAGTGGGCAGGCCACAGTGCGACCCCAGGTGCAGTAGCGAGCAGCTCTTCTCTGCCAGCAGCACACTTTCCCCCAGCAGCAGGAGGCTGGGGCCCGGCTGCCCAAGTGGGCTGAGCTACGGGGGGTGGGAGGTGGGGCCAGCACGTGGGGAGATGAGTGGGCCTCTCCTTGCAAGAGGCCTGACTCTGGAGCTGACACGTTTTGGGTCCCCACCTCGGGGAACCTGCAGACATCACCATGTCTGTGCCTTCCTGCTCATTCGGTCCCGGCTGAGTCTTAGGCCTCTCCCCTCCTGCTGCCCCACCCCATCGTGTTGAGCTCCCCACTGGGTGGGCTCGCTCCCACAGACCCAAGGCCCCCTCTGCAGGGCCCTCTCTGTCCCTGACCCATTTCCAGGGCAGCTGTTCCCTGGCCTGAGCCTCCCCCCAGGGCACAGTGAGCTGCTTTGGCCCGGCTGGTCCCCAGTGCTGGGGATACTGAGCCCCAGGAGGGCAGGGTCGGCCCCTCAAGGCTCGGCGCATGCCCTGGTATATGTGTGCTCCCGGTCAGGCAGCCCTGGTTTCCAAGGGGTAGGGGGTCCTGGTGCCTAGAGTGGGGGAGGGGGCTTCCACCAAGAACACAGCAAGAGGCCCACTGACTGCACGTGGCTGCCAGCCAGTCACTTGGGACGCCTTCTGCCGAGAAACCAGTAGGCGGGAGAGCAGGCTTGGTCCTGGCAGGCGTCCTGGAGAGTCTCGCCTGCACCCAAGCGGTCCTCAGGGTGTCCCTCGGATCTCCAGTCCTGCTGTGGCCAGAAGACAAGCAGCCTCGTGGTAAAGTTCTAGAGCTCTCCTAGACCCCGTGGGCAGAGAGCGAGGTGGCCAGCACTGGGGTGCAGGAGAAGTCCCAAGGCCGCCACAGCGTCAGCCCTGCTGCTGCCGGGAGCCCTGGGCCGACCCCACAGCCTTCTGCACCTGCAGGAGCTGCTCCCAGACTCGCCCGAGAAGCAGGTGATGCTCGCAGCCAACACGGCCCAGCTGCATCCTGCCCGGGCCTGCCCGCAGCCCCAGAGAGCAGCTTCGGGCAGGCAGGCGTCGCGCGCGTGGCAGCTCCTGTCCCGTACCTGCTGCATGAGGTGCAGAGACACCAGGCTGCTGCCACACCCGGGGGTGATGCAGGGCCGAGGTTTCGTGTGAACACATTTCAGAAGACGACCGTCATTGGAAAGACAATGCTCACGGTCCCCAAGAGGAGGGGTACAGCACAGCAGGGGGGCCACGCAGGGAAGGCCAGGGTGGGTCAGGAGGCAGAGGGAGCGGGCCCACCGTGGGCAAGAGGCTTGATTTGGTTTCTGCGGGAAAGGCGGGGTCAGGCGGGCAGCAGGCGGGCAGCGGGCTGGTGGGAACACTTTCAGTGGGCTCTGGGCTGGCCCCAGGCGCCCCGTCCTGCCCTGGGCTAACTAGGGAAGAGGATTACTGGCCTGGAGCATGAGATGCCAACAGAGGAGTTGGGGAGCGGGCCCTGGACTGGTCAGTTTGCATGTGAAGGGTGCGTCCCCAGGCCAGACTTCACTATCTCTGGGAACTGACTGGCCCTGGGAGGGGGTGTCTCCCCAGGGTGGGTGAGGTCCCAGACGTCAGACCATTAGGTAAAGGCAGGCTTAATGCAGGCCTCCTGTCTCTGCCTTGCTCCATCGTGGAGGCGGACGGCCTGATGGGCCCCGGTGCCCCGCCCTGGTAGGTGTGGCCTTGTGGGGGCTGTGGAGTGGACACCCGTCCAGAGCCCTTCCCACAGCCTCAAGTAGCCATTGCCCTGTGGGGCCCAGAAGCTGGCTGAGGAAGCATCTTCTCCCCAGAATTTCACTAAATTCATTGAGGCTGCGTGGGGGCTCGACATGTCTCCAGCTGGCAACGGTCCCATGAGCACGTGAAAGGGCCTACATCCTGCTGCTGTGAGTGGGTGTCCAGGGGCGCCAGTGAATGGAGCTGGAGGGGGGATGGTGCTGCCCAGCCCTGCTCTCCACTGCCGGTCTTTCCTGGTTCTGTCAATGCCCGAGAGAGGACAGTTAAAGCCCCACTTGTCATAGAGCCTCAGGTGTCCCTCCTTCCAGTTGTGTCAGTGTTTGCCTAATTGACTGGCAGCTGTTATTGAGTGAATGGGCACTAAGACTGGGGTGACATCTCGGTGAATGGAGCCCTCGTCCTGCTTGTGAGAGTCCTTCTCCTGATGTCCACTGGGCACGATGGAATTCAGTCCTCATGCTTGCTTTGACTTTTGGTCCACCTGAGCCCCTCATTCATGGTGGGCTCGTTGTAGACAGCATGGAATTTGTCATGTTTTGCTGAGGAAGATTAGTCCCAGCTAACATCCGTGCCAATCTTCCTCCACTTTATATGAGGGTTGCTGCCACAGCATGGCTAATGAGTAGTGTAGGTCTACCCCAAGGATCTGAACCCAGGAACCCAGGCACCTGAAGTGGAGCAGACCAAAGTTAACCACTGTGCCACAGGGCCAGCTCAGGGTTTGTCAAGTTCTTGTATACAACCTGCCACCCTCTGAGCTAAGATCACTAACCTGACATTAACACCATGTTAAAGCTCCACAGATTAAGAGACAAATAAGGTAGAGAGATGGATGGATATAAACTCATAGGTAGGCAGATAGCCACAGAGAATTAAGAGAGACTGACAAACGTGTAAAACAGAATTCAGACTCAAAGAATGAACAAAATTATAATTCAAATGAATAAAACAACCACCGTGAAAAGAAAAGTGAACCACTGTCACTTTGGAGCACGAAATCTGGAGGAAAGGAAGAGAGAACTGAACGCCAGCACTGGCCTCTGGCTCCTGGGCAGGAATCTCCCGACGGGAGCAGTCCTGAGACCGCCCTGCATCTTCTAGGACTGAGCCCACAGGTGAACGTGCCCTGGACAAAGGAGGCCGGGCTGGCACCAGGGTCAAGAGCCACAGGCGCAGAAAGCAGCAGACAGAACGCGCCTGTTGTCTGTTCGGAACCAGAGCTCTCGGTGCGAACTCCTGCTGACGTGTGGTCTGCACGTCTGTCCACGCCGATCTGTGTCCTCAGCTCTGTGTGCCTCTGTGAGGGAGGTGTGTCAAGGGTGTGGGCATGCGATTCCTGACCCATCCCCTGTGAATCCCAGAAGCCATGGCCCCCCAGGGACAGTGAGCACCCCGGCTGCCCACCCACATTGGGTTCCAAACACCATTCTCCATCAGAATGGCCAGGGCTGCACGGAGAAATGTCCGGGCCCAGGACCAGAGCAGGGAAAGAACCAGAGGGGCCTGGAACACCGTGTTGGGCCAGAAATTAAGGACAGGCTCACGGAATGACTGGGATTTGTCAAAAGAAAGCAGGAGCCAGTGTAAAGGGACTCCTGCTGGAAAGAGCGGGGACAGTGTGAACATCGCCGTAATACAGAGCACTGGGCTAGAACCAGGAACAGAATCGGGGACCAGGAGGCCCTCGTGGGGTCGACGCATCAGTGAATGAACGAGTGAGTGAAAGCGGAAAGTTCTTCCCTCCAGCGGAGAAAACGGTTGAGGGAGGAAGAGTCAGTGGATAGAGACTTGAGGAGACGCGGACGATCTTCAGTCTCAAAGCACCTCCTCCAAACACGCTCATCCACGCGTCGGGGCGCAGCTTCTCGTGAGCGCCCAGAGAGTTTGGGGAGAAACAGAACATTTATGCACTCTCAAAGCAGCTCCCCAAAAACACACTTTTTAATAACAAATGAAAAAATGGGCCACACAACACCAATTTAAAAATCGATTGTGAACGCAACGTTCACCTAATGAGGCCTTCACGGCCCATCCTGGCCCATCCCAGCCCCGGAGGTAGGCGCCCGCAGGCCCATCCTGCAGATGAGCAGGCTGAGGCACAAGGGCTGGGGAGAGGCAGGGCCTGGGGCACAAAGCGGCTGGTGGCTATTGTCCTCACAGTGCTGGGTCAGCACGTGGTCAGCCCAGGGCTGAGGGGAGGGCTGGGGACTCGAACGTCATTGGTGGGGAGGTGTGTGGGGTCCTCAAAGCCCCCTGAGCAGTGGACTGTCTCTGTCTCTGCTGGATGGAGTCTGAAGCAAGCCCAGGAGTGGGTCCTACCGGCTGCCCTGGTCCCCAGTTCAGCCCTTGAGGGCCTGGCAGCTCTCGGCAGACACAGTCAGGGATTCTCAGATGGCTGCATCTGAGGCTGTCGGTCAGCATGTTGCTCCTCTCAGGGAACATGGCTGCTGTCTCCTCCACGGCCACCGTGGTGACGTCCGGCGTGGGCTGCAGGGCCTGGGCGGCTGTGTCTTCCCGTCCTACACCAGGACGTGTCCACTGCGGACACAGTCGACATGACATCCCCGCCTGGGCTGGCTCCAGCCCTCGGGCCTCCACACAATGCTCATGGTCAACCCGGGTTTCCAGGGGAGGAGTGGTGGCCTCCCTTCCCAAGTCAGCATGACTATGGACTAAGGACTCGGGACCCTCAGACAACTGGGAGGCCCACCGCCCCGCAGCACCTCCACTGGGGGGACGAGAAATCATACCTGAGAGAGGAATCTCACTGGGGTGAATCCATCTGTAAAACAGAGACACGTGTGTCAGGGAGGGGCCACACAGCAATGAGCGGGGTGCCCCACACTCCCGGTTTCTCGCTGGGTGAACTTCCCTGAGAAACTGACCCTCTCAGAGGCAGGGGGACCCATGTGGGTGGGGCTCCTTGCCAGGCCTGTCCCCCAGGGGGCCCAGGACATGAGAAAGGACACGGTGCACGCCCCGCCCACCTCCCCAGCTGCCCACCCCGCTCCCTAGCCCTCCCCAATTAGACCGTCTCCCAGGGAGAGGTGGGGTGCACTTCTCAGAGGAGGGTCAGCCCCCTGAGAGCAGGTGCCCCAGACTGGGGAGGAAAGGGACCCTGGGCTGCTGGCCCAGCTTCCTCCCAGCCCAGGCTCCTGAGACCTCCTGGCAGTCTGGGGGCCCCAGGGGTGAGGACACAGGACGATCCGCTGACAGCAGCCCGACTCCCCGATTTGGATGTCTTTGCTGAGTGCCTGCTCTCCTTCTGACATACACGGGGCTCCCCAGCGGCCAGAGCTGGGTCTACACAGCCTGGATCCTGGTGTCCAGAGGGGCCTGGCCCAGATGAGGAGCCCAGAGCGGCAGACAATTGGACGAAGGAGTGAGCGAACGAAAATGAATGAATGAACGACGCAGTCTCTCGGTGGGGACACAACGTGCCCACAGCAGGGAGGCTCTGACCTGGGCCCCTCCCAGCTGACCGCAGGTTCTCTCACTGTCCCTGGAGGGCTGACGGGACTTAGGGTCCATGGCAGTGAGGTTGCACGGGGGCGGCAGAGGGCTCCTTGGCTAGGGGGTCCCACCCGCTACTCACTGACCCCGGCAGACCCCATGACATCAGGGTTCCCCTCAGCAGGAAGCCCATGGCCCCAGCCCAGCAGCAGCCGCTCTTCAGGGGGCCAAGCAATCCTGGAGATGCTCCTGGGGCCACCTCCACCCCTAGGTTTGAGGGTGTCTCAGACCGTCTCTCAGAGCCGTGGTGGGTCTCTGAGCTGTGATGCTCGGGACCTGAGCCCTCAGAGGGCCACACACTGCTGCTCACCAGGTGTCCTTCTCATTTTCATCCACACGCAGAGGACTATCAGGCCAGCCAACACAAGCACGAGAACGCCCACAAGAACACTGAGGCCCCGGGAGGAGCACGTGACGTCTGTGCTGCTAGTCCCAGGTTCCACTTCCATCTCAAAGAGGCCGCTGCACCTAGGAGAGAAGATTGGCGGGACCCGGATCCTGCGGGCGGCAGACGCAGCCTGATGCTCTCTAGACCCGGGAGGGTCCGTCCCCTGCTGCCCAGCCGGGCTCAGAGCAGCTCTGGTGTGAACTCAGGTCTGAAGGACTCTCCAAGCCCCAGAGCTACAGGGAGACAGAGAGAGAAGGAAGGAGAGGGAAACCAGGATGAGACAAGGAAGGCGAGAGGAGAGCAGGGAGGGGGAGAGTGGGAGCGACAGCTGGAGACCACGGAGAGCGACAGGACGGAGAAGGAGACGGCGTGAAGAGGGCTGGGGTCAGGGACAGAAAACTGTTCGAGCCGGTGCTGCAGACAGAGGGACTGACCTGGGGTGGGGACAAGGAGGGGCGAGGCAGGGTGGAGAGATTGGACCCTGCCCCCTCCCCTGAGCAGCCACACCTGGTCACCCCGGGCTCCCCCAGAGACACCAGGCTCCCCTCAGAGACTCTGAGCACCCAGCTCAGATCTGGGCCCAGGGGCTGGGCATTTGGGGGCGTTCTGCTACAGCACAATTGGGGTCCTCACTTTGAACATCTGCCTTATAGGCTCCCCCACTCCAGAATCACAGGGAGGGCCCCACAGCCCTGACACTTGGTGACACTCCAGAAGCACAGGGGCCCAGGGAAGAGCGTCCCTCTGGATCTGCTCCAGGAAAAGTCTGTCCTCAGAGATAAATTGCTATGATCGGTTCTTGGCCAGTGCAATGTGCTGCGATGTGCTGCGATGTGCTTGGACCATGGGTTCCAAGCAGGAGCTTCCTGGATGCTGGCACCCAAAGGGCAGCGGGCTTTCTGCAGGGCGAGGGCCCTTACCTCCCAGGGGAGCATCAAGGACCACCCCCAGGGGCACGGGACTGAGGCCACCCAGGATCACGTACTTGGTCCAGGGCCGGCACTCCCCCAGGGTCCCATTGGGAGAGAAGGTCCCGGGCTGGCAGTCTTCACACACCGTGTCCTGCTGCTCGGTGCCTGAGGAAGGAGAGGGCTGGGCAGAGGGGCCCGAGGGCGCTGCCAGGGCGGTGCCGGCTTACCCCCTCGGGCTTGGGCCTGGGGTCTGTGTCTTCAGAAGGCGCTAGGGGACCGGGCTCCTCTCTTGCTGGGCAGAGGGACTGGGCATCGGCTCACCTCTCTCCTGCACCCTCTGGCCTGGTCTGCAGGTCGTGTGGGGCTGGCACTCGACACAATCATCCCCCTTCTCGCTAACGCAGAAGTGGCCTTGGTCGCAGCCACACTCGGTGTTTTCCGTGCTCGAGCAGTCCCGCCTGATCACCAGGCCCATGGCTGGGATCCAAGAGAAAGAGCTGAGAGCAGCAGCCAGGGCAGCTGTGGGCAGTGGTGAGCACCCCGTCCCGGAAGGAGAACAAGCAGGGGCCTGGACAGCATCCACAGACCTGGGGGTTCCTGCCCGGTGTCTGGGGAGAGCTTGCTGACAGGACCCTGGGCCAGCTCTGCAGCCCTGGTGGGTGTGTCTGGGCCCGCCTCTGCCCCCACCCAGGACGCTGCCAGCTGCATCCCCGGCTCAGCCAAACACAGTGCCCGGAGGTGCCGGACACAGAGCTGTGAGTCCCAGCAGGCTCTGAGGGACACTGGGACAACAGAGCCGTGGGCAGAGAAGGGCAGGCTGGCGGAGTGGTGGAAGGGTGTCCGCGACAGGTAGTGGGACCCCTAGGAGACACGGAAAGTCCCGCCCGGCTGGCGCTCACATGGAAAGGGAGCACCAGGGCAGCCCGGGGCACCCTCCGACCCTCAGACAGGTTCCCATCCTGCAAACCGGGCTGGTCAGGTGGCAGAGGCAGGACAGTGAGCCCACTCAGCGGGCGGCGGCGGTGGGGTGGCAGCTGGCCCTGGGCCTAGGCCCCACCTGAGGACGCGTCAATGCCATCGGTGCCACCCTCAGCCCAGCCAGAGATGTGTGTTACTCAGGGCAGGGCTCTGCGGGTGCAGCTCGAGGCTCTGAGCCCCTGACACCCTCCCCACTGAACCCCAAAGCTTTGTAGCCCCCACGTCTGTCAGGCCCGTCCTCCTGGGGGCCCTCCTTCCCAGCCACCTGCCCCGGGGCAGCAAGAAGCCCGAGGGTCCGAGCACTGAGCCCGTGAGGAGGGGCCCTCAGGGGTGAGGGGGCTGTGTCTCCTGAGAACCCGCACAGTGTTAGGGGAGTCCTGGCCCCCGGCTGGGGGAGGCAGCGCGGGGCACTCTGGCTCCATTGGGGTCTGGCCCAGGCTTGAGTACCCATGTGACATGATAGTGTCCCTGAGCTCTGGAGGGTCCGTGGGACAGGTGACTTGGGGAAGGGGAACCCTCCTTGGGGCTGGGGTGGGGCTAGCCAGAGGTTAACACCGCAGTCCTGAGCCGTGGGTGTGCTGCAGGGTCAGGACTGGGGGCTGAGCACCGTGGCAGTTGGGCAGCGTCCTCACCTGGGTCACAGGGTCGGCATGGCAGACACTTGCTCAGGCCGTTGAGGTGGGCTAAGAAGGTCCCCAGGGCGCAGGGAATACACAGCATGCCAGTCAACTCCACACAGGCCTGCTTCACGCGGTAACCTGCAGCCCGGAGGGTCCACAGCAGTCAGAGCTGGGGAGGGCCCTGCAAAGGCCTGCCCATCCTGCCACCTGGAAGCCCCCTGCGGTGTGACACCACCCCCAGGGCCTGAAAGGCACCCACACGAGCTGTTCCCCACACGACACATTCTGCCTAGTCGCCTCCCAGGAGTGAACTTGCTTTGGGGGAATTCAGAACTTTCTGGAAGAATGTGGGGGTCCCCCCAGGACACCCAGGCCTGCTCTGCTGCAGTGCCCACTCCGAACCCCAGTCTTCTGGCCATTAATGGGCTGGCAGGTGCGCCAGGCCACACCCCCTGTGCAGAGTGGCTGTCAGGGTCTTGGTGGGAAGTGTTGAAGCTGTGGGGGCTGCCCCGGGGGCTCGGGTCATCCCCTGTCTGTGCCCCTGCCTTCATACTCCCCATGGAGGAGGCACTGTGAAAGGAGGGGCTCCTGGCAGGGAAGGGCAGAGCATCTGCCCACAGTGCTGGCTCCCAGGGGCCCCCCAGAGTGAGTCCATGGGGTGGCACCTACCTGGAAGGCATTTGGGACAGCACTCAGTCCCCACTGGGTACTCCTCCTCTTTGCACTGGGGCGTCGCCAGGGTGTAGCGGGGGGACCCCAGGAGGAGGAGATACAAGGCCTGGAGGGGACAGACGGGGCGTTGGAGGGGAGCAGCAGCCCAGGCTGCCCCGGGGCCTCGATATCAGCCTCTGTGAAATGGGGCAGCAGCAGCCCCATAGCTGGAGGTGGCCTGGGAGGGAGGACACAGGTGGGCCCCGACAGGCTCTGGGAATCATCCAGGACAGCCCTGGCGTTAGGTGGGGACTGGCCCGTCTCCTGCCTCTGTCCCCAAGTCCACCAGCATGGTACCCCAAGGACTGGGTCTCTGCTCTCACCAGGGACCACACCCCACGGGAAGCCCTGAGCCACTCTGGGCTGGACAACTGGCCATCCTGCCTCTGGCCTGTGCTGGGCCCGCTGAGCCCTGGGGACCCAGCAGGGTCAGAGCAGGACGACCGTCAGGGGCTCACAGGCCAGGCACAGGAGACAGGTTGTTCAGGGCCTGGGCTGGGGTGGGCCATGAGGGGGCCCAGGGCGCAGGGCTGACTCTGCTAACCCTGAAGTTTCCGCCTGGGCTGGCAGGAAGCCACACGGGCAAGCAGGCTGTCCCCCTGGCCTGGTCCTAGATTCCACCCGACTCACACAGACACGGACTTTATCTCCCAGGACAGGGAGGGGCTGAGGGTGGAGATTAGCCACCTGCTGCAGGATCCCCACCCCAGGGCAGGTCCAGCTCAGGCATCCAAGAGCAGCCGGGTCCCCTGGAAGGCACCTTCACCCTGTACTGGGGGCTCACTTTCGTCCCCTGAGTGGGGTGGTGGGGACGAGGCCCACCAGGAACTGTTCTGTTGCTGGTGGGTATGGCTTTCCTGTGTGTCTGCTCCCCTACCCCAGGGCCAGGGTGAGTGGGTGACAGAGGGCTGGGTCAGCCTAGGAGAACCGGGTAGCTGGGGGACAAGGGCAGGACAGGGACATCGTGGGCAGGGACAGGGAAGAGGGCACACCCAGGGGCAGGAATAGGGGCGCTGGTGTGTGGCTGGACAGACAGGCAGGCTCAGGAGACTCACCAGGCTCAGGGCGTCAGCCTTGGGTGCCGGGCTCCAGGGTGGCGGCCCCCAGCCTCGCGGAGGCTCCATGTCTCTCCTCTGGACACCTTATTCCCTGGCTGCTGTCCCCTGCCCCCTGCCAACAGGACGAGCTTCAGCACTTGGGCTTCCTGCTGCCTCGCTGGCTGAAAGATAGAAAGAAACTGCAGCAGGAGCCAGCGAGGATGGCCTGCGGGGTGATCTCAGGAAGTATTTGTCTCTAGTCCAAAGTCTGTGCCCTTGGGGCGGTCAGCTGCCAGGGGAGCAGCACACCACAGTGATAGGCAGGGAGGGCCCTGGGCTGCAGTCTGCAGTTACCAAGACCTGAGACCCAGAGCAGAGGGCAGAGCAGGGGGAGGAGGGAGCACAGGCAGGAGGGGCGATTGCCTGCTGACCCCAGAGAGCCAGGCTGCAGCTCCCAACAGCAGGAGCCAAGAGGAACCTCCTTGGCTGCCTGTTACCTGTGTCTGTGGAAAAGGGGAGACTCTATGCCTATGGAAAGGGGGGACCCTGCTTCTACAGAAAGGAGGGACCCTGCTTCTACGGAAAGGGGGGAACCTGCTTCTATGGAAAGGGGGAACCTGCTTCTATGGAAAGGGGGGACCCTGCTTCTATGAAAAGGGGGGACCCTGCTTCTACAGAAATGGGGGAACATGCTTTGACGCAAAGAGGGGAACCTGCTTCTATGGAAAGGGGGGACCGTCCCCTCAAGGAGACCCCGCCTCCCAGCAGTGCACTCTGGGCATGTCCACCCTCTGCCCGGGACCGGGTCAGGCCCGTTTCCACCTCTACAGCCCTGCACACGACTCTGCAGAAGGTGACCCTTCCCCGACCCCAGGAGGCTGGGGGTCCCAGAGTCCCCATCGGGGTGAGGAGGGGGATACATTGTGAGCACCCACAGGGGCCCCCACTGTGTCCACCCCCACCTGCCCCTGGGACGGGGTGGGAGTGGGGGAGTGGCTATTTCTTGCTCCCAGTTCACAGGTGGGAACCTGGGGTTCAGTAGGGACAGGGCCTTGCCCAGGGTCTCACATGTGCCAAACTGTGCTGAGCCCCAAACCCCAACCTTCCTGTGCAGACGGGGCTCTCCCCACGCCGGCTTCCCCGGAGCCACGGCCATCTCGTGAGCTGGGGGACAGGAGGGCAGGCCTGGGGAAGCAGACCCTCATACACACAGTGCCTAAGAAGCAGAATCGGGGGCTCGTGAGAGGCAGCCCACCCACCCCTGGATTATTCTCACCGCCACGTCCCTGCCAGCCGCCTACAGCCCCCGAACACATAGTTCCCACAGTTATTGTTTTAAAAATTATTTCCATGAATCAGGTACAGTAACACAAAGCACCCTAGGTAGGAATCCAAACTTTGTTTTTCCAAGTTGCAATCCAGTGGTTGCAGCATGAGTGTGTTGAACTTTGCCATTGACTCCAACAATGGCAACAGAGAAATTATTTAATGATGAATAAGTGGCGTCAGTACCCAGCAGAAAGTCAGCCAATTGTGTCCCCACTGTCCTTTGTACCCAGGGCTCATGGGGGACTATTGGAACGGGAGCCACCAGCATGGCAAAGAACCCTTGGCCCCATCAGTCGTCTTCCTCCTCAGAGTCTTGGACTCAAGAGGTCAGGGAGCTTGTTAGGAGGACCCCGATTTTTCCCTCTCATGCCTTCCTCCAGCTTAGGGCACTCATTTTTCCAGGGCCCCTTTTCTTTGCAGTAGGCACACTGATTTTCCCCCAATTTTTGGTGTCCCTCCCTATGCAGCCCTGGCTCCCCATTTCTGTCTCTCCATCTGGGGGAGCTGTGTAAAGCCCTTGGCGGGCTTGGCTTTACGTTCCTCATGAGCATTATAAACTTTGAAAGCAACTTTCACCAACTGACCAGAACTTGTGGCTATGGCGCCTTCAACCTTCTTGAGCTTCCTTCTAATGTCGGGGGCATTTACCATCAGGGGCTGTGTCACACTGAAATTAGGATTAAAGGGATTTAACATGCTCAGGGCTGCCATGTTCTCATCAAGGTTTTCTTTTCGTATCTGAGCATCTTTGACTACCGGGAGCTTGGCATTTCTTTGGACCATCAGCTTGTTCCCTGGCGGGACACCTGATCATGCAACCGCATAAAAGCCTTCACATGGGGAATCTCATCCCATTTTCCACACCTTTCACAACACAACTCCCGCTGTAAGATGGTGTAATAACTCAAAGTTCCATTCAATGGCCGTCTTTCCTCACTTTTCAAGACATACATCGGCCAGGTGGTGTTACAACAAAATACCGTATTTTTTGTCATTGGCTTGTAACTATGGATTGACCAACCAGCCAAAATCTTTCCCAAGGACCTCCATGTGGTGACTCCCATGTCAACACAAAAGGGGACAGACAGACAGACAAACAACAACCAAAGAGACCAAACCAAACCAAACCAAACAAGCACGCTTTTCCAAACACCCTCAGACAGCAACGGAAGCCAGTACAAAAAACCAAAGCTGAAAATACTTCCAGTTCCAGCGTAGGCTGTGTCCTACTCGCAGGTGTGCCCAATAAATGAAGATGCAGCCTACAGATCTTCCCAAATGAGCAAAGACAAGGGACCTCGATTGTGCACACCGGGGGACTGACCTAGTTGGGCTGGGGGATCACGACTCCACACAAACGCTCTTTCCTTCTCCCCAAGGTAGTTTCCAGAGGTCTCCAGAGGTCCAGACGGCCACCCAGGGGATGAAGCATGAGGGAAGCCTCCCAGAGTGAAACCCGCTTTCCCAGCGGCTGGAGCGGCCCCTCTGGCTGTGCTGGGCACTCCACAGAGGCCAGCCAAGGGAGCAGACCTGGACTCGACCTGGGTGAAGTCCAGTCAACTAAGTACTGGTCCCGGGTGATCAGGCCTCCCTGAGTCTTTCTCCAACTGTCCACTTCCACAACTGGGGCAGGCGCAGAGCACAACTCTGGAGCATCCAAAGAAGCCGAGGGGGTCTCAGCGGGAACAACCCACAGGTCCCATCTGGGTCGCCAACTGTGTAACCAAAAGTTCAGTCTCTGAACCCGATGCCAATCCAAATAACGAGGACAGAGTCTTGAGGGGAAAGGAAAGGCTTTACTTTCTTTGCCCAGCAGGGGGAGCACAGCAAGGGCTGGTGCCTCAAGCACTGCTAGCTCCCCATTAAGAAACGCGTAGGGGTTTTCATTTGGGGTGTTAGGTAGGGGAGGGGAGCTGTGACCTTCTTGGTCAGCATTTTCCCATCGGCCTGCATTTGGGACAGCTTCCAAGGGCGGGGAGACAAAGGATTCCACAGATGGACGTCCCTGGCTGTTTATCTCCATGGTGGATGGTGGACTCTGGGAAGCTTCTGTTTCTTGATATTCTCTGGGCACTAATTTCTCTATGAAAGAACTTCAAGGTCCTGGGATCAGCCACAGCTTTAGTGCGAGCCCAGCTTGAGCCCATCTGGGCTTTAACAATGCGTAACTTCTATTTGGTTGTGAAGCTCAGGGAGTCAGAGGGTAAAGAAACACGTTTACGTATGAGCGTAACTAAGGACCCAGGGAACTGGGAATGTGTGCTTGTAGTTTTACCCCATATATGCTGGGCTCCCTGTAGGGGAACCCATATCAGGGCTGATATTACCTAAGAGCCAGTAAGACAATGACCAACCAGTCACAATTACCACTCCAGTCCCATGGCTCCATAAGGCAGCAATGCCTAAGCCCACCTCAGTAAAAAACCCAGCATCTCCAGTGTCATAAAATACTCAACCCCCTATCCCATTAGACTTAAACACAATTTCTCCCTCATCAGTTTTCAAAATAAATAAACCCGCCATAACCTCCATCAATAACCCCAAGGGGAATATCCCTGGGACAGTTAAATCAGAAACTCAAGCCTCAGGACACTGCCCAGGAGCCGGAGCCCTTGGATAACCAAAACCCACATCCCCTCCAAACGGGGTGTGTGGATAGGATGCTCAGATTCATTGAAAAAGATGTAATGAAGGAAAGGGTTCTGATAGGAGTTAGTTGTGTGTAAGTCTGGTATGTAGGGGCCGTGGGATTCTCCTAGAGATAGAATTGTTGTGAGGATGTCTGGCATCATGCTCTTGGCATGTTCTGCCGGGAAGAAGCAGGCAAGTGGACTCGCTGTGTATTCAACATTGAAGCCAGAGACGCGTTCGACTCTCCCTGTGTTCAATCAATGGAACTCGCTTGGTTCCATTGCCAGGGTTGAAATGAATCATCCTGTGCCTAGTAGTCAAGATGAAAAATTAGTCATAAGTATTCTTGGGTAGAAATTAATGTTGAAGGTGAAAAAGATGGTACATTAGCAGGACGGACAGTAGAATAATTGCTCACGTTACTTCCCACAAAACTGTTGGTGCTGCTGCTCGTAGGGGTCTAATTAGTGCACGTGTTGAATTTGAAGCTGAGGCTGATCAGAGAATGGAATAAACAGCTAGGCCTGACAGGGTTCATGCAAACAGTAGGCCTAGGCTTCTATTAATCAGTGGGCGTGGTGTGGGTCGTGGAATTCATCTTGTTGGGGCCAGAGGGAGGGCCGGGATTGGTGCAACGAGAAATTGGGATGTTGACGGTGTTGGTGGTGTGGCGGTTCTTTAATGAATAGTCTGACGGCACCAGCGATGGGCTGCAGCAGGCCACGGGGGCCGACCGTGTTGGTCCTTTGAGCAGTCCTATGCAGCCTAACACTTTTCACCTGACCGTCGTGAGGAGAGCAGCGGCAAGCGGGATGGGGGTGATGAGTCGGAGAACGCTGATTACGAGTGCATTGTCAGGAAGAGGAATCGAACCTCTGGCAATAAAGCTTTAAGTGTTACAAGATGCCCAGCTCTGGCATCCTGACAAACCCTGTTCCTGGGCAGGGCTGGGTCTAAATTAATTAGATTAAGATTATATCATCCATTAGTTTGAAGGTGCTTTTGAAAAGTGGGCCTATTTCTCTCGTCCTTTCGTACGGGGAGAAATGTGGAATCGATAGAAACCAATTGGATTATTGCTGATGAACTCAGATCTCAGAGCACCTTAATCATTGAACAAACGACCTGTGAACAGCAGTTACCCCGCTGGGACGTCCTGCTCTCTTGGGAGGGTGGTGAACCCCCTTGTTGGTGATGAGCTCTAG